GAAACCATCGATTTCTATTGTTGGCGAAGAAACTTTGTACTGCTCGCCGACACGTGTATTTAACTCAAAATAACTTACTGTGGCCCAGTATTTCCCTTCCTCATATGGCACCTAAAAAATCGATTAATGTAATTTTATGAGCAATTCACCTCTGACTTTTTGGAGCACCACAGAAGGTACGGTTCATGCACTACGCTCTAATGCAATCCTCGAAAAAAACAGCCATTGACAGCTCCGCCAACGGACGCTTGTTCATGCTCGCTTTTTCAGAAATAATTTTTCCGGATGGGTGAAGCCAACTGCTCCAGGATCACGCGATAACTAACAAATAGTATAAGCCGTTGATGAGACAAAATGATTCAATTAATACGCTCAAGAAAATATGCGTGAACAGGCTGGAGCCAAAGACAAGCAGAATGGGAGCGTTGACAGCTATATTACTGACAAATACAAATATAAAAAAGTATAAGTTGAAGCCCTGAATTTAGAACTCTCTCTTTCAAATTAATTGTAAAAGATCAACGAAGTCATAAAAATCGAATATCAAGAATACTGAGCCGCCTGGTCCAACAGTACGGGGTATTCCGTGTTAGTGATGCCCGGGATTGGAAGGTCCTGACATAGATCAGCACAGCTATGTTAGGTCCTTCAACCCCAGACTGCATACCTCCACCTCCTGTTCTATATACGTGCCCCATTTTTTTGAGGTAGCCTGAGCTGCCGCCTAATTCGCGGATACCATTTGCTAATAAAAGAAATCCAGCAATCGTCGGCAAAGCGAGTAATATGCTCTGCCCATCGTATTATACTTTCTCCAGTGTTCGCAGTGGCAACCCGCACACGGTTCATCTGATGAAGAGTCTGATTTTGTATGTGGTCATGGAGGGATACGTCGAGAACTCTTCGTTCCACCACTTTTCCCGTCACTGCTAACTCTCGCTCTTCAGCTTTCGTGAGTGGCCGTTTCGCATCCGTATGTCACTGCCTTTTACATTGCGTTATCAAAGAGATGGACAGTCTGAGAACATCGGTAACGTTGTGAAACTTGTGACAACCGGCGGCTCTTCAACGTGTAACGGCTGGAGAATGCGGCGCACGTTTCCGATCCAAAAGGGAAGTTAGCTTCTTCTGTTAATTTCTTTCAAGCCTTTGTTAACTTCTTACCAAATTGTCTATCAGCAGTCTTGCTGCGGGTATTCGTCACTTTGAAATTTTAAAATTCCGATAAAATATCATTAA